CCCCAGGCCAACATCATTCTAAATGGAGAAAAAAATGAAGGCATTCCCTCTAAAAACTGGAACAAGACAGGGATGCCCTCTTTTGCCACTTCTATTTAACATAGTATTTGAAACATTGACCAGAGCAATTAGATAGACGAAAGGAATTAAAGGGATACAGATAGGAAAAGAAGAACTCAAATTAGCACTATTTGCTGACAACACAATTCCATGCCTAGAAGACCCAAAAAAATTCCACCAGAAAACTTCTAGAACTAGTAAATGAATTCAGCAATGTAGCAGGATACAAAACCAACACACATAAATCAAAGGCATTTATGTATATCAGTGACAAAACCTCTGAAAGGGAAACAAGGAAAATTATCACATTTACAAAAGCCATTGGCATTTCTCATGAAAATAGAAAGAGCAGTCATGAAATTCATCTGGAAAAATAAGAGACCCAGAATAGCTAAAGCAATCCTCAGCAAGAAGACTGAAGCAGATAGCATCACTACACCAGACCTTAAACTATACTACAGAGTAATAGTAACAAAAACAGCATGGTATTGGCACCAAAACAGAGTTGTAGACCAATGGTACAGAACAGAGGACACAGAGACAAACCCACATAATTAAAGTTATCTTATATTAAACAAAGGCACCAAAAACATACATTGGAGAAAAGATAGCCTCCTCAACAAATGGTGCCGGGAAATCCATAGGCAACAAAGTGAAATTAAGCCCCTATTTCTCACCATGCATAAAACTCAACTCAAAGTGGATCAAGGACCTAGGAATTAAACCAGAGACTCTGCATCTAATAGAAGAAAAAGTAAGCCTAAATCTCCATCATGTCAGATTAGGCCCTGACCTAATAGTGCAAGAATTAAAGCCAAAAATAAATAAATGGGATGGATTCAAACTAAAAAGCTTCTTCTCAGCAAAAGAAACAATCAGTGAAGTGCATAAAGAGCCTATGTTTTGGGAGCCAATTTTTACCACCACAAACAAACAAACAATCAAAACCAGCTTCTTTTTCACCTATGCCCTGCAGCAAAGAGCCTGTTTGCATGGAGATGGGTATTTTACCAAATTTCCCTTCCAACTCCTCCTGTTCTAATTCACAAACCATTCAGATAGAGCACTAATCTCTAAGGTATATAAAGGTATATAAAGAACTCAAAAATATGTGTAATATGAATTGTAATGCATTCTGCTGTCGTATATAACAAATTAAAATCTAAAAAATGGGAACAAAAAGAAATTTGCACCATTTTGCAAGAATAAGAATCATAAAGGTTTACTCTTGAAAAAAATCCTAAACAATTAAAATGGTTTTATACTATCTTCAGCTGGAAAACTTTTTATATCCTTTATCCACTTACTTTATGGATTAATATATTATCATCAATTAATTAAGTCATTTCTATCATAATAAAATGTCATCATTAGAACTGCAAAAAATACTTATGAAGGGGACTAGACTTATGCAGTTACATACAGGTAAGGTTGGGGTTATGGTTATTTGTACATTAAAACAGGAGGGTGGAAAGCTCGGAGACACTTGAGTAGCAGTCAGAAAAGGGGCTCATTTGCATACCCCACTGGGAGTGTGTTATATCAGGAAAACACAATCCAGGAGTTCCACTGTCTTCAGCATTCTCAACCCTGAGAAAAGGTCAAGAAGACAATGGAGACTAGTTATATTTAGGGCACTAGTTATATTTGATGAGTGTATTTAGCACAGAGGGGAAATAAAAAGGGTCCCATCCTGCAGAGCTCTAACCATCCAGGAAATAGCCCTAAGGTTGAAGAGTAGCTGAGCAGAGATGTTTTGTAATGCTGGTGGGAACATGTCCCAAGCTTTCTGAGAGAAACTGAAAACTGAGGAGTCATGATAAACTTGAAGTAATTGTAATCCAGGACTGCTTTCCTAGAGTAGGCTGAACAAACTTCAAATGGGTATGAGTAGTCTTAGATTTTAATTCTCATCCAATAAAGTAGCACCTTTTTTTTTTCAACTAACCTCTGTAAAATTCACCAATGCTTATTTTCCCAACACTACAAAACTACCATTGAGAGAATTTGATTAAAATTCAGAGTAGTCTGGATCCTAGACCCATGGTATTCCCACTACACTAACTTTCTTACACAAATAAAAAGCCAAGAATTGTATAGAATTACAGTTTAAATGAAAAACAAAGTGGCCCCAGGGTAAATACCAGAAAGTGAGTATTTGACTTTCTGTAGATTTATGCTGTTCTTAAATTGATCATGTTTCTGACCTACAAGTACAGGAAGAGCAGGGATTTGGGGAAGCAGGACAATGAAGGTGAAAGAAGAAAAACTTTTCCCCTTTTGGCCTAGCTTCCCACCTAGACAGATGCTGTTGGGGGCCGGGAAGAAGCATAATGGAAAACCCAGTGTGATGGAAGCTAACTACCTTCTTTATTGCTATAAGCCACTTTGGAACTGAAAAGGCATAACTAATTCTAGACTTACCTTTAAAAGATGGCCTTGTTTCCATTTACTCTGTTTTAACATTTTTAATTTTAGTGGCTGTAGATTTTTTTTTCCTAGAGCTTTAAAGCTCCCATACAAAAGTAATTTTATTTTTGAACTACATAATCAAGAGAAATAGAGAAGTTATGAAGTTTATACCCGGATGCTGTGAATTAGCATGCTTTTCTATAGATAACGTCTGTGTTGCATATTCAGATTTTGCCTAAGTGGAGATTTATTACACAAGATAAGAGATGATTGAATCCTTGAAGGAAGGATCTGTGTTTTTTCATCTTTGTATTTCTATTGTTGCAGGACAGTTCTCCAGGTGGCCTTGAAACAATCAAGTTCTCCTCCTCTGTCATTTGTAATTCTCAAGAACAAGTAAAAATGTTCTAAAGAACAACCTCCAGGGATGAAGAGTAACTGGCTTCAGCAGAACAGACTCTAGTCCCCCATAGAGACAGGGGATCCTTCATCATTAGCCCACCATAGCATTTTGCTCCAGGGTATAAAACCCAATGTGGAGCCAGCTCAGGAGGCTAAGGCAGGAGGATCTCATTCAAACCCAGCCTCAGCAATTTAGCAAGGCCCTACGCAACTCAGTGAGACCCTGTCTCTAAAGGAAAAATAAATAAATTAATTAATTAAAAAGGCTGGAGATGTGGCTCAGTGGTTAAGTGCCCCTGGGTTCAATCCCTGGTACAAAAAAAAAAAAAAAAAAAAAAAAAAACAAGAACAAGGTGGGCTGCTGGACAATTTTCCTGAGCACTGAAAAACTAGCTCCCAATGAGTTCTAGGCTTTTGTTTTCCATTGCTTCATATCTGTATTTAATAGATCTTCTACATGTAGTTAATTATGTATGTTGTGTGTCTTGTCACACAAGACACAAGCAAGTAGAAACCAGCAGCCAAAGATGCAGCAGGCTGAAGTGATAGAACTCTGTCTCCTGGTGGTTGCCATAGTGATGATCTTTGTTTTCCTCTGTGCAGTGTAGATCTTCCCTTGGGTTTGGTCATTAGTGATCTGGTTTTGCAATTGTCTAAAACAGTGCTTATTTGTTGAGTGAATATTTATGGAATGAATGAATGTTATAAAGAACCAGTCACTATGAGGCTTGCCTGTAATCCCAGCTACTCAGAAGGCTGAAGCAGGAGGATCACAAGTTTGAGGTTAGCCTGGGCATCTTAGTGAAATTCTGTCTAAAAATAAAAAGTAAAAAAGCCTGGGAACATAGGTCAGTGGTAAAACAACCCTGAGTTCAGTCCCCAGTACCACCACAAACAAACAAACAATCAAAACCAGCTTCTTTTTCACCTATGCCCTGCAGCAAAGAGCCTGTTTACATGGAGATGGGTATTTTACCAAATTTCCCTTCCAACTCCTCCTATTCTAATTCACAAACCATTCTTTAGTTAAATGATCTAGTCACAGATTTCTATCACACTGCATCTTAATTAACCTTCAGATGACAATCAGTCATCAAGGAGATTAGCCTCTACTCCATGGTTATATAGGATTATTTTTGTCATATTTTTGGTAATAAATAAAAGAGTAATGAGCAAATCATTCCTGATATGAACTAATGACTTGAAAATTATCTCATGCTTTATAGAAACTCCAATGCAAAAAAAAGTCATAAAACTAAAAATTTTGTGTGTGAGTAGGTCTGCCTGCAGCCCAGATCTTCCATCTGTTAGACGTTTTACGTAGAGAACAACTAAAACCATTGGAATCCCAAAGGCTATGCAGTTAGAAAGTTCTCTGCTTTTCAAAGGCCTGTCAGTCTACCGTTTCAGAGCCTTGAAGAGGCCTTGAAGACCTCTAAGAAATTCTCTTTATTTAGATTGTTTTTTACTCCTAAAATGGAATCTCCACTGAAATGACACATTAGTGTCAGAAATACTGTCTGAAAAATGAAATTTCTTTATTATGATTTATGCTGTAAACATTTTTTAAAAGTATTAAACTATACAAATTTCTCTGTAACTAGATCAATAAATATTAAAGGGAATAAATATTAAAGAATAACTGTAACTGGATGCTCTATTAGAGAATTGATTCATTCCACTTACCTTTGATTCACATGACCCTTATAAACAAAGAGCGGGCCACTAGGCTTATTGGTATATGAGATATTGCCAGATTTTTCTCTACTCCAGATTCCAAAGTGCAGCATAATTCTATATAAAATTCAACCGTGCTTTTAAAATTTTAGTTGAATCATAATCTAGTATATCTGCTTTTGGAATTAATGAGAACTATAGATGCGAGGTTAGAGTCTCGTTTCATTCTTCACTCGGCTGTTTGATTGACTCAGGATTTGTTAATAACTAGAGTGGATAATAATGTTAGAGCATCTAATCTTCAGATGAGAGTAAAAATAATTAAAATTCACTTTCATTTTATTTTAACCCAGGTGCAACATCCCTGAATCAAATCTATAAGCAATATAGCCTTTGTTACTTTCCCTCAATAATTGGGAAACATAAAAGATGATTCAATTTCAACATACCTGGGAATGAAGTCATCAGAGCATCTGTACATTTTATCTGAAAAATATCCAAAATATACAAATTAAAAGAAACTTTGGCATACATTTGCTAAATCTTCTACAGAGTGTTCTGAGGGGAGTTTAGCTTCCGTGTAATTTAACATCTTTGATCATGCCATTCAGGCCACCACTAATTGAACTAGAGATGCTATGGTTTGAATATGGTTTGATTGTCCCCTGAGGGTCCATGTTTTAAATGCTTGTTCCCCAGAATGGCAGTATTGGCAAGTGCTGTGGAACCTTTAAGAACTGGTGCCTGGGGTGGGGGGGTCCTTGGACATTAAGTATATTACCCTCAGAAGGGATTAGGTATTTTCTCAGGAACCCCTAAGTGGTTCTCAGCAGAGGGTTAATATAATAGGAGTAAGACTGGCCACTCCCTCTCTGCCTTCTGGCTGGAGCAGCTATGACTTACTTCAACCCATGCTCCTGCCATTGTTATCTGCCATGAGGTGATTTGGTCAAGAAGCAGCAATATAGAGCTTGCATTATGCTGTTTGCACTTTGAATCATCAAGACCATGAGCTAAACAAACCTGTTTTCTGTATAAAGTTAGCTGCCTCAGGCATTTCATTGTAGTGATTGAAGCTGACTACTACAAGAGATGACATTCTTCTGTTTGGGCCAATCAGATTCTATCATGGTAATATGAAATGATACAGAAGCCAGAGGCAAGGCCATTTTATGCAGAGGAAACACTAGGCAGAGAAAGCTGGAACTTCTATTCCTGCCTTCCTTGTGGCTCCTGTCCATTGTGGAACATGGACACATTTTCTGCCTTTGAATTCCATCAACACTTCTGCATCCTTCTGTTAGCTTCCTTCTTTGCCATATTGGTTTGAGTAGGCTTTTATTTGTTACCCCTCAAAAAATAATAATAATAATCCTAAGAGAAAGTCCTTTTACTGTCTATCTATCTATCTATTTACCTATCTATTTTTAAAGTGTTAACATTTTTTGGCATCTGAACAGCAACATAAAAGTGATGCTAAGAAAGTAGTTCCAATCATAAATCCTTCTTATCTACATGCAAATAGTGGTAAGTACAGGTGACAGTTCTAGGGAGAAGAGACTGGGGAAAAGGTGAAACTTAACCTTTAAAATTAATCAAAACAGTAAAATAGCTTCTAAAAGAAATAGTTTTCTTTAGTCTGAAAATACAAGACTGACCAGGAATATAATATTGGACAATGAAACCATAAAAACAATTATGTGCCAAATCTCAGAAAGTAACCCACTGTTGAACCTTGAAACTTGCACATCAAAGGTCAATAATTTCTAGTTATTTATGTATTCAAAAGATATTGGAAAATACAGTTTTAAGAAATTTATTTGGTGAAGGCAATCAATTCATAATGAACATTTTTGGTAATTAAGATCAATATTGTGATTTTCATTATCCATCCATCAATAAATTTTCTTTGATTTTGAACTAGATATATAGCATGATATTTATTATATTTTAATTTCTTATTTTTTAACCTGACATTAAATAAAAGCTAAACCCTTCCAGAAGCTATTCTATAAAAATAGAGACCGATATTATCTAAGTCTATGGCAATGACCCAGAGACAGCAGTAACTTTATCTTTTAGTTTTAATATAGGAAAAACACTGAGAGTTGGTAAAGAACTAGCAATAACATTTTCAAATAATTGAGTATAAGTCACCAAGCAGCTGTGAAGATTATTTTTAGCTAGATTTAGTGCAACAATGTTGTTATCCTACAGAGGAGTTATATACTGGTAAAGTAATATTGGGGGAAGAATATATGAAAACAGTCAAATTGCCAGATGAAATGAACATGTTACATTGTGATGCGTTTGGAAGAATTCTGTGAAGGACCAAAGGAGGAAAGGTTTTGCACAGCATGTATACTAAGCTGCTATGGAACACAAAATAATGAATGTAACCCATTGGGACCTGTCAGAAATACACTTCTTCCAGCCCACAGGAAATGCCCTACCATGAACTGCATATAATAGAGGCAGTTATTTTCAACTACTTTCAGATTAGACTTGTGAATGTAAACACACACAAATGCCAGTGAAAGCCAAAGGTGATCTGAAAGATGCAATACAGTAGTTACAAGTTAATGAGCACCCAGCAAAATCAGGAAGCCTGAGATATATAAATTAATATGTCAATATTATTAGAAGGATAATAATTATACAGTAACTAACAATAATAACTAATTAGTTATTATAGACCATAAAATTGTAATGTGGAAAATAAAATATATATATATAGTATGTGTTGATTTCTTTCTGTGAGAAAGAAATGTTTATACTCATGCCATGAATTATTATTCAGATCTACCTATAATTAAAATGATGTACAATAACTTAGTAAAACTGTTGTCTGATGTATCATAGAACAAATTTAGGGTTAGGAATCAGAAGATACTGGATATGATACGAGCTCAGCAATACATTTGTTATGTGACAACATGCAAATTATTTAAAAATTCTGATTCTCAGCTTATTCACAAGGTAGGAATAAATCTACTCCTGTGTCATGCAGTATATTTAAAAAACAAATGAGATGATTTCTGTGAAAACATTTTACAAAATGACAAAGTTACTTGTTCATGTTACATATTCTAAATACATACCACATAACAAGCCACAATTTAATTGTGTTCAGTTGAATTGGGACATTTCCTTATTAAATGAGCTAGCTGAAAATAGGCTGATATTATTAAGATGGTATTTCAACATTGAAGTTAAAAATATTTATAAGTAAAGCTTGACCTGCAATATAATTGTTGAAATCTCCACTTTGATAAGAGGACAGTCACCAGATGAACATTAATATGAAAGAAAATAAAGAATATATATATATAATTTGAAAATAAAATGTGAATGAAAAATATCTGAAAATAAAATAATATCCTTGCTTAATAAGGATAGGAAAAAAAAAAAGATAGGTAGATAGTGGAGTAAGTAAAAGTATTTCCCCAAACTAATATTTTTAAAAGATAATATGAATTCTCCAAGGAGAAGTACTTGAGTATGAATATTGGAAAGTATACTCATACAATGAGTCCCCTTGTGCCACCATGTAAAAGGGAAATATATCATAAGGAGTAAAAGACACAAAAGGAAGAGGAGGCGGAAAAGGAGAAAGAGAAGGTGGAGGAGGTGGAGGAGGGGAGCAAAATCCACCACAAGAAAGTATGAGCAAAAAGCTTTGTGGGGAAAAGGGCATAGAAGTAGTTGTATAAAGAACACAATAGAAAAATGTGTGAGGCTTCTATGAGAGGAAAGGGGACTAAATCAATGTGAAAGAGAAGAAAATAAGTGATGGAACCATTATCCATCAAGATCAACTACACTGAAGAAGCACACTGAGAGAGTTCAAGGACACCACATTCTGGGCTATTCTTAGAATTCAAATGTGTAATCTGGAGCTGGACCATCAATATTTGGATGATTTTAGTTTTACAGTCCTTCCTAGAGGAAGGTGAACAACTATAATCTCTTTAAATGGGAAGTAGTAATGGAAAATGGAGGGGTGACAGTTAAGTGTGAAGGTCAGCAAGCTCAGGCTTCTGAAAAGAGCTGGGTCTGGCATGAGAGCTGGTGAGTTTATTTAAAAATAAATGGTATGACTTAAAGGCTGCCTAGTCATTTCAATCATATTTAACAAAATTACAAAGTGTCTGCTTTGTGATAAAGTGGTGAAGGGTGCAAGATGGTGTGTGAGAAGAGCTGGGTGAGTTTTCATGATCCTCTCCTGTGATTCAGATGCAGACTCTTGCGGTCGGGTACACAGAAGAGAGGATGAGAAGCAAATGTATTTGCTTTTATGTTTTCTTCTTTAAAAGGTACACCCTTCTAAGCACTATACACTACATCAAGAAACAACAGCTCATGGTTTAATCCCCACAATAGAATCTTTCTGATTAATTTTCCATGAGAAATGTGAAAAATGTGTATTATTTTCTAGTGAAGAGGAGATACACTGACAGGACTTTGATGTATGTGCAAACCGTGCCCTTTTTTATCCTTCTCAAAACAGAGAGGAAGAACTGGAGAAGTAATGTTCCTTGGATTTAAAGAAGGAAAAAGCTAAAGCATTCCTATCAGAAAAATGAATAAATATAATCCTCCTAAAAGAACAGATCTGGACAAAGAATCACATAAAAATGAAAGATTTGTTTGGGGAGGAAAAGAGAACTCTATTTCAAAGCTTCTACCCAGCTGCTACAGAAAACATCAAGGAAAGGCTTATCTTGTTTATCTGATTGAATGTGCAGATATTATATTGTCACAAGGATGGAGATTTTCTTTTGTAAGCTATTTAATACACCAGCAAAACTTATTCACCCACTGTTTGCCAAGGTGGAGTCAGACCTTGCAAGTTTCTTAGCCACAAAGAGTAACACAGAAATGCAAACACAAAAAGTTGCATGAGGTCAGATGCAAGAGCATTGCATTTACAGACCAAGTTTTAGAAAACCTGACTGAGAGGACAGAATCTCTTCTGTCTATGCAGGACAAACAGGTCCGAGGGGAGTCTCCAGGGAGACTTGGGCTCGAGTTAGACATGTCAGTCCACTGATTATCTTGTCCCACAAAAATCTTAAAAGAATTACCACCTGGATCAACAGAAAAGTGAGGCACTAGCTCAGATGATCGCTCTCGTCATACTTACCACCTTAAATTACTTTACCTCTCTAGCTCTCAAACTGTCTTTCTCTAATTCAGGTAATATCATCATCTGCCTTCATAAAAGATCTCAAATAAGAAATTAAACTATCCTCTACTACTTTTAGCTTGTATTTTTCTATAAAAGAAATAAACTTTGTAAAAAAAAGTCTGATGATGAGTCATTTATACACCTGCCTTATAAAATGTGGTTGTTTGAAGATACATTTGTTTTTAACAATAATTATGGAAAGCTTGTAAGTGAAAAAGCATTGCTTGCCTGGCATTTCCCCTTAGACACAGATCTGAGGTATAGAGGTCCTAAAAGAATGTTAGGTTTCCGGGTGAGGACATTTCATCAACACAAAAGCGTATGTACTAGTAGAAACATTTTGCATAGAGAATTAGAAAAATGGGGCACTTAACTCAGATTTTGCTATTGAATCAATGCATGACCTCAGCTATGTCACTTCATTTTATAGTGCCTCTAATCTTTTTTTAAAATCTGTATGACAATGCCTTCTTCTCCATATTTCACATTATCATTTCCAACACTTAAGAAGCTACTCCTGAGAGGGCCAAGGGCACTCCCTGCAATGTGACCATTGCTCTCAATTGATTCAAGTTTTCATGGACATATGTGTCTACCTTACCTTTGCAAGCTTAGTTTTATTTCTTTTCATCTGTTAAAAAACAATGCTTTTATCTTTTATTGTCTTTATTTTTGGCCCATGTAGAGTCTGTCCCTCAAAAGTTTCCTGGACCTAGAATATTGATATCTCCCAGAAATGGTTCAACTTTCATTCTTCCATCCCATGAATCCATGTACTCAGCATGCCTGTGTTGAATGCCTACAGCATGCTGTCCTAGTTACTGACCTTTACACTACTTTAATCATGGTATATGCAGGTAAAATCCACCTGGTTAAAACTGCTGTCCAGCCTGTTGAAAAAGAAGCACTGACAGTAGCAGATCCTCTTGGTCTGTTCTCCTAGTCCCTGGGATGGGCTGATTACAAGCCCATGGTTCCATCAATGGCCTTTCCACTTCTCTTCTGAAGCCACCTCACTCTTTGGATCTGCAGAGGGCCTGCTGACCCCGAGAGAATTTGAATAGGCTTGAACCTTAAAGAGACACTCCTCTCTCTCCTCTTCATGTATCAGAGAGAACTTTTGTGGCTGCAGTTTGACGAGTTGTCCAACTGGAGGGGGAAAATTTTTACCAGGGTAATCCCTTGCAAGTCTATACCCTAAGGCAAAGGTAAAGCTAAATTTGGTGGGTTTTTTTTTTCACATTTCTAATATAATTGCATTGTTAAATTAAGAAAACACTTGGGATTTTAAAAAATCAAATTTTCTGCAGATAAAATATTTTATTGGATGACATTTCATGAAATTGTCTACTTCTGTAGGCTTTCCAGTGACTACACTCTCCATTCACGCAGGTACCATATATGTCAAAATGTCTTACCTTGTCGTTGCTTTTCTACATAGTGGGAGATATTGAAGATCAACGAAATAACCAGAGCCAAACCCAAGAAGGCTAGAAGTCCCCAGAGAAAAAAGGGGCATTCAGAGTTTCCTGGAAACAAAAGGAAATACATCCATGATATAGTAGTTAACTCCTCATTTTTTTTTTTTTTTTTGATCTGGTTGTTCTCACAATGAAAATGGCTGCATTCATTCGTAATAAAGGAAAAGTTCTCCAACAAGAAATTAATCATCATTGACCAAAAGCTTATTACAGATTTCAAAGTGGGTGTAGGCAGTAAGTCCTTGAATTCAGCATGGGCAAAAGGAAACAAATTTCCCAAATTCCTACTGTTGATGACATGGAAGATATTTTTAGTCTGGCTGTTAAAAGGTGACTAGTGGTCACTGATTATAAAAACCTTCATTCAAAACAAGAATATCCTAATGATCAAGAATCATAATTTGCCATCTTTTCCCTTTCTTTAATATCCAGACTAAAATCATGTGTGCTTTCCCTGCCTGCAGAAAACCACTGGTTCTCTTCCATCAAGCCTTGCAGTGTAGGACATCAGGTACTGAAAAACAACAATAATTCTGGAATCAAAGCAACTCAGTTCTGTTAGGACTGGCCCCAAGGAGCTCTCCTCATACTATTTAGAACTCCATGACTGAACAGCAGAGAGTTCATTATGCCACTCTTTCCTCTCTGTGAAGAGAGGCACAAACTCTCTTTGTTTCATTTCTGAGTCATGAAAGACATTTTATGGAATATTATGTAAGATGCACTTGATAGTTTATGACTATCTCTACACCTATATGAAGGACTGTCAGATGATTAACCTAATTATACATATCTTAGTAGTCATATCTCTGTATGGCCCACATCATATGCTGACCCCAGAAAAATAACTTGTAATTCTGCATTACAACATATACATTTATTCAACAAATATCAATGAGAAATCACTTCTGTAGCAAGAACTATGTCCTATACTAGGAATCAATGATTTAAAAATGAACAGAATGCTTGTGCTCAAGAACCTCTACTTAAGTTGTGAATGTAGACGTTAAACATAATTAGAAATACAAGGTGAAAATAGCTATAACAGAGATCATATTTCTTCATGGTCCCAAACCTTGTGCTATGAGACACTTAAAATCAGAGCCCATTTTAGACCTCTTCAAAGAAATGAAAATACTACCATGTTAAACCCAGTAAAGACTATACTGTAACAGAAGGGAAATTAGTTTTGCTTCCCTACTCTTTTTAAAGTATCCAGCAAAGACTTTCTAAACCAAAATAACTTTTGTGCTGCTCAATACTCCGTATTTTCTGAATCTCACTCTTGACATTTGAATTGTGTACTTGAATTGGCATCATTGATTTTTAAATGAGCATAGTTATGCATATGAGTGATTAAATACAGAAAATGGGTATGCGTATTATGGTATAAATATGTCTATATATATGCATCTAATTTACATGTCACCTGTTTGTACATATATACATTGTTTTTATTCAAATTAGTTCAAATCTCTTTTAATGCCAGAAAAATTGTCACTTGCTCATGCTTCCTCTTTAATTTAGTGCCATGTTATTTCTATATGTTGGAAATATAATAATCTTTACTGAGAATTAGGCTATTCTATCTTTTATTCTGTGATGCCATTATGTGTGCTTTAAAATATTTTTTCAAGAATAACTAATAAATAGAAAAAAATAACTAATGATGATGATAAAATGTGTGGTTTTATTTCATTTAAGGGAATGTTTACATTTCATAAATTATAAGAAAATTTAAAGACCCAAAAAGTCTTTTTACCTCTGCAAGAGACCTGCCTATTCATTAATACCAGGTTTTTCTGGAGAGAAGAGGCCAATTTATTTCTCATAAACATGCCTTCATTAAGTATTTATGAGATTTGACAACACAATTAACTACATTAACAGAAATTCTGGGTATTGCATGCTATTGTATGCATTTCTAGAATTATTTATTTGATTTTTTTACAGTTTTACCTACTTGTTAAAAAAAAGTGCTCTGTGATAATAAATTTTAAAAATTTCAGCAATGCCAATATAGAGTAACCTGGAAGATCTTCTACCAAAACATAAATGGAGACTATTATACTAATTAGCCATTTTTATTATAGTGTGTTTATGTTATTTTTAGTGGCTGCCTAGATTTTTTCAGTGTTGCTGTAATGTCTAGTCATTTCCCTAAATGGGCATTTCCCATTAGATGGGCATTCTAATATTTTAAAACATTTTCTTTTACACACAATGCAGAAAACACCATTGAACATTTTTGTGGATATGTGAGCTTATTGTACAAGAGTTCCTGGGTGTGGAATTGCTGGGTCAAAGGGTACTTTGGGAATTATTAAGAAAGCTTTCAGAGAGAGATTGCTCCTCACCTGCTCATCCTGCCCCCACCTTCAGTCCCACCCCACATTGATGACTATCATTTTCAGGTGGTAGATCCAACTATAACTATGCAAAGGAGGCCAGCTAGTAGTCTCGTTTCCCAGACAGGTCTGAGTTTCCCTCTTTCCTATCACAATACAGGGGTAAAGGGGGTGATTTCTGTTGTTAAAGACCCTTTCTATTTTCCTCTTCTTGCAAATGTCATTGAAGCACCCATAGTCTAGGTGCAGTTCTAAATCCTTCCCCCATGTTAAAGAAATCTGAGGGCACACACTACATATTCCATTGAATTATATTACAACTATCATTTCAAATTATTCAGTCAAGTTCACCCTCTATAGTCTCTGTACTGGTGACACTTAACAAATTTTACTTTCTACAGAAAGGCCAAATGTATTACATACATCATCTATGTTCAAAACAAAAAATAATTAGTAAACTAATAAGCCCAGATAAGCAAAAACAAAAAGATAAAACAGGCTTATCCATATTATCAAGAGACAATCACTGTGAACACTTTGGTTACTATATAGACCCTTGAACAACAGCCTTGAACTGCAAGGTCCACTTGTACCTGGATATCATTTTTTGGAAATTTGCAACAATTAGAAAAAATTCACGATGAACCCCATGGTCCAGATATTGGAAAAAAATTAGGAAAAAGATATGTCATAAATGTATAAAATATATGTAGGTGATAGTCTATTCTACCCACTGCTTCCATAAAATATATACACAACTCTATTACAAAGAGTTGAAATTTATTAAAACTTTATTCACTAAACATAGACTATCCATAGAGCCATTCTCAATTGAGAAAAAAGTAAGCAAACATAAAGATGAAATATTAAATCATAACTGCATGAAATTAATTATAGTAATACTACTGTAATTATTTCATAGCCACCTCCAGTTACTATTGCTGTGAGCTCAAGTGTCTGCTTAAAATATCCCATGACTCTAATCATCCCTGTATAAGAAATTTGTTCTTCTCGCCAGCAAGTTGCAAATGGCAGTGAGCTTCTCACATATTTTTCACCATAAATATTACACATGATATTTTTAAAATGTCTTCATCAACTCTTTATGTTATTGGTAAGGCTCATGGTCAACAGCAAGCTATAAGTAGTTACATTCAAGGGAGCCAAAAGTTATATGCAAATTTTCAACTGAGTAAGGGGGTGCACCTAACCTCAGAGTTATACTTCCAAACCTATTTTTCTTTGTGTAGAAATTGTTATGGATGCAGACATAAGATTCCATTAAACCCTAGATTGTTATCTATTTCCCCCCCCCAAATAATTTTACTATGTCTTTCTTTTCCTATGAACAAAATATGCTTCCATTTCTTTGGGCAGCCTAATATTCCATTTTATGAATATTCCATAATTTATTTAAGCAATCTTTATCATTTAACACTTAAGTTGCTTTTTTTTTAGTTATAAACAAATTGTGACAAATGTTTGTATAGCTAAAATATATACATAGCTTCATATTTCAGGTTAAAAAATTTTGAAGATGAATGTTTGGACCACAGTATATACCTAAATTAAAGAACTTTGATTTCTTGATATCCAAGTTTTTAAAATACCACGGTATGTGGACTTGTTTAGGCCAGTCTGACCTTTGTTCCCATTATATCATGGGGCTTATGCTTATTTGCTCTTTCCGATGATCCACACCACATTAACTACCGCTCCTGACCAAGCTATCTTCCTGTACACTATATCCCTATACTCCCCTCTCCAATGGACTCTAGAGAAAACTGTCCCTTTAAAAATTTTTCTGTGGATTGTGACATAGATTCTTTAGGAAAAGGTACCTGTTCCTACCTCTGCTTTAGACACAGAGGACATGACCTCTTTCATTCCTTATCAAAAACTATTTCCACAAAATGATACTTCAGATTTCCAGCATATCTTTTGGGATTTACTTCACAAAACTCCCAATTATATCCCATTATTATTATTCTGAAGCACTTGTAATTTTCAATAGATGTGTGCTTTCTACTTCATGTGCTTACGTCTCTGTATATTCACTTCTTTGCTTAAAATGCCTTTCCTCTTAGTCATCTAAAACATAACTAGGCATCCTACAAGGTTACCTTCTCTTTGAAGCTTTCCCTCAGTGCTGCCTGTCCTCTAACAGGTGACATCTCACAGACCCCTCTACCTTTAAAAAAATAATAATTTTGTGTATCAATCAATCTCCCCTAGTAAACTGTGAACTCCGCAAAGGGAAGAAACTGCCTATTCATCTTTGTCTTCATGCCCCAATTTCCTCATTGGTAAAAAGAAAAAAAAGAGTGATAATAATAGTGCCTGTTGTGGGATTAAGTGAAGTAAGATGTAATAAGATTTTTTAGAATAATGTTGCTCACTAGTAAGATGCTTAATAATCAATAACTTTGATTACTAACTTACTGGTAAGACTCCTACTATTGTATCTGCAACAAAGTCAACAAAATGTAACTGCTCACTACACATGTGTCAGCTCCCTGAAGAAATGAAGATGAAATTAAAAAGGGTGATGTAATGAGTAAGAGCCAACAGAAAGGTTCTGACCAGATATGTTCTAGTCATATCTACAACCCAGAAAAGGAGTAGTTGAAGATTCCCTTCCACTTACCTCCAGCATTATTGAGAAGAAAAGATCTAACCCCAGCAGCTGGGAAATCCATG